GGAGGCTCGTTCCGACCCCGAGCGGGTGCCGAACATGTACAGCCGTTACATGGACGCGGTGCAGAAGCAGGTCCTGCAGGGCAAGCAGAAGGCCGAGAGCGTGGCTGCCGACAAGAAGGTGAACATGGCAGTCACCAAGGAGGAGAGCATCTTCCCCAACATTCACCTTCCGGGCGGTATCAGCTCGAAGGCGACCGAGTACCGCGACCTGGCTCGCAAGGGCGAGAAGTGGGAGAGCCCGGTGTTCTCGATCGGTGGTGCGTCCAAGAGCACCGACATCCCGTCTGCTCCCAAGGTGGTGCGCAAGCCGCACACGGCTGGTGGTCAGACCAACGGCCACACCAACGGCCACTACAGCAATGGCAACACCGTCAACGGCAAACTTCCTGTGCCTTCGTCTGGCGGTACCACGGTTCCCATCTAGGGGTGGTGAGTTGTATACCTGTGCAGTAGAACGGAGATGGAATGGTGGATGGTAGTTGATGGCATTGCGCTTCCGTGAAGCCTAGATCGATGAGACGGAGGAAGAAGGTCAGGAAAACAGAAGGAAAACTGGTGATACCCCGGAAGAGGAAGTGTTTGCGTTTGCATTACGATGATGGACGGACGGACTCTTTTCTCTTCCATGATACCTCTTGCCTTACGAATACTTCCTTTTGTCAGTCTACGGATCAGTAATACAACGAGTAATACGGAATTGACATTGCATCTCCATGAATTGACGCTGTTGTTGGTGATGATGTTGTTTTTGACGTGGTTGGGAGTTGTTTCTGCGCCAAGGACCTTGGCTCCCCTGTAATTCCCCGGCTGACAGCGTCTATCCCCTGTAGGTACCGCTGTCTTGCTGTGGCGCCGGATCACGTCAATTGGCGGCCCGCGTGAACCACCCCACCCCTGCCACTTTGCGCCTCCTACAGTACGTACCCTAGTTACTGCAACCCCTACTTACTGCAAAAACGCTAGTTACTGCAAATAATTGCCTGTACCGGGAGTTTTTATATGGGAGATACCCTAGTTACTGCACCTACTGCAAACTGCAAATCGATTCGCCAATATTTGCAGTAACAGGGGTTAGTTTTTGGTGCGGTGAACCATAATACCCCCATATTTTAGGCCTGCCGGGGGGCCTGGTAGCCAGTCATAGACCTAACTTCCGGCACCTTCAACCCTTCGCCAGTCGCATATTGTTACCAACGCTGCCGCGCCCTTCGTCTCCCGTTAACCAGCGCCGTGCTGGCGCTCTGCTCCAGCGCGCACCCATTTTTAGTGGGAAAAAGAGCTGGCCGGCAGGGTGGGTCCCGGTCACGTGGGCTCTAGAAACTGCAAATATTCTAGTTACTGCAAATCTTTTGGCCGCCCGAATCACTTGCAATAACTAGGGTACGTACTGTACCTACCTAAGATCTAGGCCTGCGGGGCGAACTACCTTAAAGCTCCAGTTCCCACCACAACAAACAACGGCAGCCTGCATCCTGATCCTGATCCTGACATTCCATCCCAATCCATCTTGCCATCTCACTCCATCTAATTGCAGTACCATCCACCACCACGATAACCTCAAGCTCCGGTTTATGTCATCCTCCAATCGATGCTATCGATGCTATCAATGCTGTCCGTGATACTACCGCCCCGGAGCCGTGGTTAGGCCAGACAAGCAAGCCATGGCTCCCGTCCAAAACACCTTCTCCATCATCCCGAATGCGCCATCGGCCATCAATGCGACCCACGATGCCACCGCCGCCGCTCGTCCGAGTCGTCCGCCCATGACCACGAAACAGGCCAAGAAAGCCTACCAGAAGTCGAACAAGGGACCCAAACTGTCCAAAGCCGAGCAGCGGAAACAGGAACTCTTCGAGCAGGACCGCATCCGCCGCGAATTCGAGAAGGAGAAGAACCAAGCTCGCGCCCGGGCCGCGCGCGACAAGAAGAAGGAGAAACAGGACCAAGAGAAGAAGGAAAAGAAACGCAAGGGCCTGCCTCTGGTCGAAGTTCATCCATCCCAGGATACTATTACTTGGTTTGTACGCAGCAAGCCCAAGGCGTCAACGCGCGAGCCCAGTCCCGGTGTTCAACCTCCAACCTTGTCACCCCAGCTGTCGAAGGAAGCGCAAGTAGTCAAGGAGGATAGCGACGATGCCTCATCTTATACCGAAGATGAATTGGAACCGCCATCCAAGAAGCGTCGGAAGGAAAGCACTTCACCAGCAGCATCTCGACCTACTGAGGAGACACTCGAACCTCGGCCGTTAACGTCGCCTGATGACGAAGCTGGAGAGGAAGAGCACCAGCCAAGTAAAGTTGCTGCGGAGGGACACCCACGCGATGATCTCGGTGTGGCTGCCGCAGACGCTCCCATGGCTGCTTCTGATCACGATACCGATGCGACCGAGGACGATTCCGTGGAGGACGAATTGCTGGATGATCTGGTGCGGGCGGTCGACAGTCAATGTCAAAATAGCAACCCCCTAGAGGCAAGCCATTCAAGCAAACCACCGCCGTTACGTGATCCTGAGATTTCGAGCAACTCGCATCCTACACATGTCGAACCGACTTTATCAAAGCAAACATCACCCGCTATCTTGCAGCATACACCCCAACCCCCCATGCGACAACCTCTGCAGGAGATCTCGAAGCCATTGAGCAATCCAAATTCCACCAATGCCACGGATAGCCAAAGACATCCCAACAATGGAAAAGCAAGAAGTCCTCCACGGCCAACCACTGCTTCAGCCGGGAACCTATCTCAAAAGCAGATGGGGCCGGCTCCTCGACCACCACCCTTCCGGCAACCAAAGACACCAATGGGACCTCCACCCGTCCCACCCAAATTCCGATCTCCCAAACCAGACCTTGAATCCAAACCGCGAACACCTCACTTCATCAACAAACAGCTTGACGGGCCTGTCCGTTCAGTTTCGGCCGAGAAATCCAACGGCAAGTTGGTTCTTAGCCGAAGTCCGCAAACCGAATACTTGCCTACCAGCACACAACTTCTCGGGTTGGGTGAATTGGAGGACTTCTTCCCCAGTGCTTCTCAGGAAGTACGAGAGCTGTTCGAGGAACCGGAGACGAAATCCCCCAGTCGTCCAATGGGGACGAGACCGATAGAAGTATCGCACGACCCTTCACCGCTGGCGAAACACTTGTCACCGGCTAGCGGTCACCCTGTATCGAAGCCACAGAACCCGTTCGCACAGGTGACTCGCAAAGCTTCCGCAAGTACATTTAAAGGGAATTCCATCTCTTCAATCGGTGCTTGTGTGACTACAGTGTCTCCTACTTCGGACCGAGCACCTATGGCGGGATCTGGAGCCTGGGACGTGCCATTCTTCTCTACGCAGGATCTATTTCTTTCGTCTCAGGACATGAAAGATCTCGAAGAAGAGCCCCCTTCTCCGGTATTGGCGCGGACGAACACCCGCGGGGAATCTGCGAAGTCACAAGGCCAGGATGGTGGTCAAAACTCACCGGATGATCATAGTCCACCCCAACCCCCGACTAAAAAGCCCGATCAGCAACCAAAAATCAGGGACAACTCTAAGAATGCCCAACTCGTCGAGTCGACTCAACTGGCAGCACATGATCCTATTAACCAGTACAAAGAACATCCCCGAATCGTCCAGAACTCCGGCACCAATGCGAAGACTTCGATGGGGTCCCATGCAAGCGTCAAACAAGTGCAGCAGGACAGTGGGACTGGCATATCAAGCCATAACCGCAAAGCGGGCAGTAAGAGCAAGGAGACACCATCGCGCCAACCGTCTAAGCCATTCTTCACCTCCAGCGGTTCGGAGATGCGGTACAAGTACGCAATAGAACGCAGCAAGACGGCGGCGTGGGAAGATGCCAATGCGCGCCGCAAAGCCCAAGAGCAATTGGACCAGATCCAGGAGCTCGAGGATCAACGAGTGCTGGAGCTTCTGGGTTCAGATAAAGAACTGCTGAATACAGCCGAATTGGAGTTGGGTACTTGTTCACCGAGACCTTGCGTTGTCGAGGGTGGCTTACCGGATACCACGGCCGGCAGCGAGCCTTCACCCTTACCCCTACCTCCCCCAAGCAAACCCGAAAACCGGCATAAGTCTAGCAGCGCTGCAAAGCAGCCATCCAGCTCCGGATCGGAGAACCAGAAGTCGAGGAAACGAAACCCTGGCAACGCGCCCGGGAGCTCGTACCAGCGGATGCTAGATCTGCTCGGGCAGAGCAAGAACCAGACACCCACATGGGACAAGCCGGGTCTATCGCATGATCAGGGCGCGCCGCAGGAGCCGTTGGTGCCGGCGTCCCAGGAGACGGATTATGGGGATGATGACCTCTTTGATGTTTTATAAGCCAGCGGCACGGGGTGTGTGCGCGATGCTTATGGTAGTTTGAAGGGCTTCCCAGAGCCAGAGGATGAGAAGAAGACGAGCGCATGATCGGGATGGGATGGACGGATGGACGGGAATGGACGGATTACCAAGTTGATATGATACCCCCTTTTCAATGAGATGAACGATTATACATTACCCCAGTTGGTTGATGCATTGGATCGCGGGGAGATGCGGTGGTAGTCTTGGAGTTTGTACCCAAAGCCTTTTTTTTTTTTCCTTCCTTTCTATCTTTTTGCGGTTCCTCCATCTGCTGGTCATGGGGAGCAGGGACTCCGTCAACTGCAGCAGCTGATGCCTGGGAGGCAGTCTGAAGCTACACCAGCTCCTCCGAAGTACCGTGGACAGAAACAACTACCCAAGCCCGCGAAACAAGGCGAAAGACGCGATACGAAGCATCGTGACATCCTACCACGGCACCCCCCAAGCGGGAATAAATAGGTAGGTATTTCCCACGGCCCGAGGTGCCCAAACCGGGAAGACCAACAATCTAACCCAGCCATATCACGAATCGCGCACAGCTAAGCGACCAAAGAACCCAAACGACAAATATTTATACATATATCAAGAGAAAAACCAAGGGAAAATCGAGACCAGAAAAAAAAAAAAAAAAAAAAAAAAAAGCAAGGCTAGCATTTCCTGGTTTCGATCCAGGGACCTTCGGGTTATGAGCCCGACGAGCTTCCGCTGCTCCAAAATGCTTTCTTTTTGTGTCATGTCGGAAGGGACCGGAGTTTGTTGCGGTATATGGGGCATGGCGAACCAAGACACGTACGTAGGCAGGCAGGCAGGCAAACAGGGAAGCCAGACCACAGGCGGCCGGTCCGGAGATGAGCCGCGCGCGGGTGGTGGTGTTTGCTTGCTGATGAGATTACCGCTACGTGGGTGCGCGCGCGCGCGGGTGGACGGGTGAGTCAGAGACTACCTATCTCGCTGGCTGCTCGTTTGTACTTATGGAGTCAGCGGCCACTTATTAATTACCATACCTAGGTACCTAGGTACCTACCTTGTGAAGAGGCATCGTTTGCACGGCTACCTGCCTACCTACCTACGTACTCGGTGCCTCGGCACAGCGGGGGGGTGGCGTCGATGTCCTTCTCATGTACCTACCTACCGGCTTCTGCCTACCTTACCTACCTACCCATGCTTGTCGACTTGGACGAACACTTCCCCCCGGCGAGAAATATTAAAGAGAGGGCTGAAGTGCCTCTTCGTTTGGTTCACCGAGAATTGAAAGAAAGAGGAAAAAAAAAAAAGGGAAAAAAAAAGGGGGAAGAAGTTTGTCGGTAGCCAGACTCACTCCCACAACCACCAGAAAACAGCAGAAGGATGAGGGCAAGTAAGAATACCCCGGCCTCGCGGGTCCTCCGTGAGGGCCTTCGAATCTACGTGATATCATCGGGGACAAGAAATCAAAGACTCGCGACCAAGCTTGTACCATATCATATCATACCATCACCCGGCTCAGTTCCCATCAACTCGGAAAAGACAAGGCATGAATTCATGCACGCAATGCGCTGCTAGCTAGCTACCTTAGCTAGGTACCTCAGCTCTTGCCATGTATGGTCGAATGATGTCCCTTCGCAAGAAAGAACACCATCATCCATCACAAGTGGCTCGCAGCATTATCGTATTCCTTGCCATTCCTCCCAAAACTTCAGCAACGCAACGAGAAACTCCTGGGACGCCATATGGATAGTCATGACCGCTAACTAGGCAGAAGGAACTTCAGACCTCGGTATAGTAGTAGGGTTGTCTGACCGATTCCCTTGACCTTGACCCGTGACGCCTTGCAATGCAGATGTTTCGTAATCATGACTATGTTCGTGAAGAAGAAGAACCTCACATGAAAAGTCCGACCCAGGCCGACTTGGGGCCGACTTCCGAGTCGCAGTCCTCGACGGCACAGAGAACCCTGTTCTTGCCACTGCTGGAGTCGGGCCGGAAACCGGTGGGGATCGAGTTACGACCCTTGGCCATGCGGTTGTCGAAGCACTTCTTGCAGAAGACCTGCGAGGGAACACACACACACACGGTTAGCATATCTCGTAGCAGAACAGACAGAAGCCAAGGAAGGCAGGCACTCACGTGTCCGCAAGCCTTGACGGCCCAGAAGTGGTGCTCGGCTTGGTCCCGCTTGCTACGCGCCTTCTTGGCCGGGCCGGCGTCGTCCTCGTCGGGGTCGTAGGCGAGCTCCTCGTCGCAGCTGGCGCAGATGGCCACCACGTCATCGCCCGTGTCGCGAGTAAAGCCGGGTCTGGCTTCCTTGGGCGGCTGGTGCGCGGGTTTGGCCGGTGCCTGGGCACGAGCAACCGGGGGAGGCTGAACCGGGGCGACGTGGAAGGGATGGGCGCCGTAGTTCAGCATCGGCATGTTCATAGCCGGAACGCGTGGGATGTGGCCCATAGGCGGGAAAGCGATTTCGGGGCCTCGGCTGCGCTCGCTGACCACCATAAGATCGGGGTCTTGCTGTGCATCGGGCTGTCCGTTGGGCTGTCCGTTGGGCTGTCCGTTGGGCTGTCCATTGGGGTGGGGGTTGGCCATGGCTCCGTTGTCAAAGAAGCGGAACATGGGGATGGGGAGGGGGATGTTCTGGAACAGGCTGGTCAGGGAACGCTGGAGTTGGTGAGGGCCGTTGACTGCGGCGTTGTGGTGATGGTGACCGCCCTGAGCATGTGCAGGATTGTGACGTGGGCGTGGCTCGCGAGGTCTCGCGTTCCTAGCAGCGCGACCAGCGTGGTTGTGTTGGTTGTGTTGGTTGTGGTGGTTTCGCGGAGGCTGCTGCTCCAAGGGTTCGTCCTGGGTAAGATCGATAAACGCCTGTCGTCCCATGTAGTGCGCGTCGCTTCTAGCTAGGCGGGGGGGAGACGCCTCTCTCTGTGGCCGCCTACGCGCGTTCTGCGAGTGGTTCTGGGGGAGGATGGCAGGTGCCGGCTGGGGCGGACTGTCGCCTGTCAGGTCGATGAAGTCGGGCTCCTGCTGGCGGTTGCGGTTGTGTCTCTGTCGGCGTCCCGCGTTCTGTATCTCCATCTCTACCAACTGATCTCTGTTCGCCGGGACGGGAATACGGCCATTATTCGGACGGTGGCGTTGGGGTGGCGATATCTCTGCCAGGAGATCGTCCTCGGAATCGTCTAGCTGTTCTATGGCAGGGGCGTTTCGGTTGGGGAACAACTCCTCGAGCTCTTCTTCGTCGAAGTCGTCTGGCTCAAAGCCGGGGTGAGGGTCGAGGTCAAGGTCAGGGCCGTTGTAATCGGGGAGCTCGAGGTCACTACTGCCACTGTCGTCTTCGTCTTCGTCTTCGTCCTCGTCCGACAAGTCTGACGCCGAGATGCTACGTTCTGAATTCAAGAGGGCAGGTGAGCTGGAGAGTTCGCGTGAACTGTCGTCTATGTCGCTAGAGAAGTCTTCGTTTGCCTCAGAAGCTGATGAGGACATGGACTCGAAAGCCTCAGAGTCAGGAATCTCGGCCATATCGGCTAGGAACCTGTGGAGGCTGTTGCCATTGCCTGGTTAGCGAGTACCTTAAACCAGGTTTCAATGTTCAGGCCGCAGGTGGTCAGTGCAGACGGATGGTTCGAGTGGGTGAATGGGATTTCAGGCAAACATACCTACCATAGAAGTGTGTGGAATGGTAGCAATGGCCGCTGTGCAGTGTTGTGACTGTGAACTCTGCACGAGACCGACCCGGAATCGCCGCGGAGACGTGCCTTCAGAATCAGGGATCGGGGTCAAAGGTGAGCATGACTCTGCGGTTCTGCGAAAAGGGCAAACGCTTATTAGGGCAAGCGAAGGAAAGAATCAATGGCTGGTCGTAGCGCCGGGTCGTAGGTGGTAGGGTAGAGAGAAGGTTGGAAGTAGGCGAGAGATAATGATGGTAAAAGGCGGCAGAGGTTCCGACGGAGGTAGGTAAAGGTACCTGGACCTAGGTACCTGTCTGGGTGGACGGGATGCTGCGAGTAAACGCGACGGTGATAACCTTCAGGATAAGCGCCGCTGTAGGTACCTCGGTACCTAGGTACTTCCTAATCTCCACACGATAAGCTGACACGGACCCTCTTACGTGCATACACGTGCCTTCTCATGTATGACGTTTAGCTCCGGCTGCAGTAGCTGCTTAGGTGCATACTCTACGAAGTACCTGCCTGGATATCTAGCTTACAGAGGGAGGACATCAGGCACTCCTCCTTGCTGCCATCTCCAGTACCAGCAGACACCGGACTGCAACCAATTTCACATCACATTATATCTACATCAAATTTTCCAATTTGCACAGTATACCCACCTGGCGGAGGCAACTTAGAAGTGAACCAAGCCGAAACCATGCTGTTGAAATGTATCCTTTCACAGTTCATTTCGCAAAAGTGAATGCCTTCACATGCACTTGTGGCTTGCCTTCACGGAACTCTGCCCGAACATGACCCATTTTCGCATCGCAAGCTAAGGTATCATTTACGCCCTTATATCACATATCCATCCATTTTCTCTGCTGTATCAGCCTTCTTCCTGTCTTTTCATGGATGGAGCAAATCTTGAAATATCAAGAGGTAACGTGGCTGGGTCAACCGGCTTATACTACCCCCAATATGCCCTCCATGGGAATCGATGGTGTCCATCTAGACCTAGGTATCCTACAGCCGAGCAAGGCAAGTAGGGTATGCGAACTGGATTTTTCTCGCATCATTCCCCTCATTCGTCTTCCTCGCTTCATATTGTCTTCGGTCCCAGAACACTGACCTGTCCGTCAGGGTTGACAGCAAGGAGGTTGCGAGCATTGAACCCCCACTTGATGTCTACTGCGTTGACCACGGCCCGCAGTGGCTCGGTCCACTTCTTGGAGCTCTTGTTGTACTGCTGCACCGAGACACCCGTCGGCCCTGCTGTGGCCAGGTACTGTTGCGAGTAGTCCCAGGCTAGGGCAAAGACCGGGCTGCCTATCGTCAACACCTTGACCTGCGCAGCATCCCCCTCTTTTCGCAGATCGAACACCGTAACGGTCGTCTGATCCTTGGCCGTAGCCGCGAACCAGAATCCGTTTTCCGAGAAGGCGAGAGCCACGATCGGTGCATCCAGGCTGAACACAGCGGCTTCTTCACCCGTCTTGGTCATGAAGAGCTTGATCTCACCCGAGCTCGTACCCGCCGCAAACAGGTGGCCGTCGGGATGGAACGCGCAAGCGGTTAGAGCTAGGTGTCTCAGGTCAGTCGTGATTCAATGATGTGGACACAGTCGAAGCGTAAGATACGTACAAGCATTGGTGTAAACGCGGGTGGCGCGTCGTAGGTTGGCCAGGTCATAAAAGACGAAGCTCTTATCCGTACCGATGGAAGCCAAGATCTGCTTGCTCGGGTGGATCGCCAGACTGGTTGCCGGGCCAGAGTGATCCGAGAATGAGGCGATCTCGCTTCCGTTCTCGAATACCTTCACGGAGCCTTGCGCGGTGGAGAGGAACAGCTTGGCGCCGTCCCATAACGCTGACGTGATCGGTTCGTTGACCTTGATGGACCGTTCAACCGAGTTACTTTCGATGGAGTAGACGGCCAAATCGCCTTCCAATCCACCGACAGCCGCGTAGGTCGCTTCAACGGCGATCGTGGTAGCCTGCGCAACGGGGGTCGCGTGGGTGTTCTGAATGCCGAACGCCCCGATTTCTTCGTGTGTCAACCAACCTTCGGGTACAGGGCGCCTCTTCCGGCTCTTGG